AAAAAAAATGGTTAACAGTTGTGAGTTTATGAAATTTCCCTCTTTAATTGCAGAAACCGATGAATGGGGTACATGTAGAGCATAACTGATAGCCTGAGGGGTTTTAGATCTCAGTGCACGTGCAGGAATTTTAATCGATTATTGTCAGAGTGGGACAGTTTCTAAAAGAAGTTACTCATGCTGTTAAAGTAACTCTTAAAAGAGTCACTTTAAAAAATAAAAAATATCGTAGTTTATCTTTGCCGGTTCTACTTTAGTTCCAGAAAATACAGTCACGAGCTTTTGCAAGGTCTCTTAATTCTTATGCTGCAGAGTGAAAGCGAAAACAAGCTAAATACGCTGAAAATACCACACTTCAGTAACTTTTCGTAAACGACTCAGTGAGAACTACTAACATTTAACTCACCGGCTCAGCTACTGCAGGTATATATATAATTAAAACGATTATCGTACAATAACACTGCTAAAGCGGTGTATTAAATTATGTTATCATTACAACAACCAGTAATTTACGTTTTTTTCGAAGAATGTATATAAACTGCTAAACAATAGTGTCATTGATACGATGAAAATAGGTGCTTCAAAGCTCCGCTTAGAATGAGTTGTTTTATTGGATAACGAAACAACAAATAAATAACCCTAGCAGTGTCCATAGGGCTGAAACAATAGCAGGTGTGGGTTTCAAAAGCCGCAGATTTCTGATGAATCTGATAGCTTCGTGGCAAAAGATGTGTGCGACTTACATAAGACACTTCACTTTACATAAGATTCGTCTTATGTAAGACGCGAGCGCGCCGTAAAAATGGCATTAATTAAACGTTAATTAAGACGCGACCTTAGGCTATAATCACACCAGACTATGCCGGATACCTTTCCGTGTCGACACGAAAAGCTATAGCATGAAAATCTATAATCTGATTTATGACCCTCCTTAATTAGAGATCGGCGGGCCGCAGCTTCGTTCCGTAGCAGAAATCACGCGGGAATCACCGTCCTTCTGTTTGAACATAAGCGTTATCTGTTCAGCCCTATCTGGTGTCGTTTCCGTGAGGCGGCGTAAAAGCCATCAGGCATAGTGTAAACATAGCATTAGAAAAGTGTTACAGGAGCTAAGGTTCGCGTCTAACCTAAGTAGCGTCTCATCTAACATTCCTGCTAACATTATATGCACCATTTATGTCCTCAAGATTTCCTTCTTACATGCATAAGTCGCACTTCGTCACTCCTGAGGTCACGTGTTTCTGCTCCGGTAATTTCGATGTATAATTTGTCGATTAATTTGATACATAATAGTCTCGCAACTCACTTAAATAAAAACAAACTTGACCCAGGTTTCCCAAGCAACAAGTTTATAAAAAGAAGAACCGCTAGAATTAACATCCTGAAAATGATGAAGCACTGGCAAATGTGTTTATTGTTGGAAGTATTTTGAATAAATGAGAAAACAATTATTGGATTCAACTTTCGTATCATATCAAGAATTGAGGGTGTTGATCCATCGGCTACCCTGCAAACTGTGGTTTTTGAATTTCTCCAGGCCAGACGCTAAGCTACGAATGGAGAGAAACCACTGCCAGCAACCGTTTGCTTCGAACCGCCTTCCAGCACCATCGACGAATAAATTAACCAGGTAAACTCCGTTTAAAAAGAATTAAGAATATGGCGCATTTGCTTACTCTTATAACTGCTGCCCTAAGGCCAGCCTGCTGAATTTGCGCTCCTTCAGTTCTTATCGCGATTATTCCTTCTCACTATATTTTGTCAAATGTCGGCGAACCCTCCTGGAGTTGAATTATTTCGAGGGACCATATCCAAGTTCAGAAAAACCTGTTATTGCTTTTTGACGATGTCGTTGCCGTCGCGTCTTTGGATCCCGGGACGGGATTCCCATATGAAGGGGGGTTGGTGGGTGGCGTGAATTGGCGTGATTTTCGACGCAAAGTTTGAATTAAATCCCCAAAGAATACCAATCTGGACGTGGCCAAACTCTTTTTTGACTCCCAAGAAGGGAATATTTTAAACTTTGCTCACATGAATCGAGTAAATAAAACAAATTGAAAATATATAATTTTCTTATATTTCTTCGCGTGCAACCCTAAAAGCTAAGGGACCTTTTATAGGGGCGTCCGCCTCCGAGCTTTGGGTTGTAGGCGCCACGTTGATACGCGTGCTCGATGGCAAAAGCAACTGGTTGCTCGCAGTGGTTTTTCTACCTTCGTAGCGTAGCGTTCGACCCTGAAGAAACCACTGCTCGCAGGGTAGGGCTCGGCAGATAAAAAACAGTTGATCAGTGATGTCTGCGTCATTGTTTCAATAGATATTCGAGAATTTTGATCATTCTTCTATTATCTTCAATGAATAAAAATTAGGGGAGTTGTTAAAAATATACTAGAAAGTTGGAACTAATATTTAAATTGGGGTTGTGGGGTTCCGCCTTCTAGGATCTTCCTGGTTCTAGAATCTTTCTTAGGGACTGTTTTTATGAAGGAGTCCTTCATAAAAACGGTCCCTAAGAAGACCAACTGGTTTATGTGTAGTGTACCTTTTTCTACCCTTTATTCTTACGTTCCCAATTCAATCCTAATGGTCAGAACCGCTATTTCTAGTGTTCTGAGAGAACAATTTCTGTCTGAACAACTTTTAATACAGTCATATGTTGTGTGTGTTAAGCAATCCGCCGGGTGGTTCAACTGAGGCGTCAATGAAACGTGATTTCAAGGTTGACTGCAACAGCACAGTTTCACGTAGCCAACAAACTGTGACCTAGACAAGAAAACTGTTTATTTTGGTCGCTGAAAAATAAACACTCAGACTAGACAATAAATTAAAGCTTGCAGTTTGTTTTTGATACCTTCAATTTAGAGTATGGAAGCGGAAACAAACTATTGTCGGCGCACAAGAAGTTGAAAGTAACTTAAATTGAGACTACTCTATGCGTCACGTTTGGCCCGTCAAACTTTAGACACTTATGCTAAGTTTCAGGGGACAGTCAGATTTGTTGCAATTCCAAGCGTTTAGTGGAGTAAGAATAGGATCTTAAGATGCAACAGATTTCGCGTACTGATTGTCTAACAGAGAAGAAAAAGAATGGAACGGATTATGAAGAGACCATGAAAGAGGCTTTCAACGAAATATTTACGAAATAAAGGAGAGCAAAAAAGACACCAGAATGAGGAGACTCAGAGGAGATTTGGAGAGACGAAGAAGTAGTGCTCCGGCCACAGTCCTCAGAGACCAGTTGAAAGCTTTCAGAAAACTTAAACAACCAGAAAGACGATTGTCTACACCTCCTTTTAATAACGAGGACAACTTGGTCAAAAGAAGTATATAAATGAAGTGTCCACTCAGCTACCACATAAACCTAGTTCGGCGAAGAGTACCAAATCAGTAAATTACTGACTGTTTCACATCCACGGAGATCAAGTTTGTTGACGACCAGGCAGTGAGTTTTGGCTTGTTTTGAAGAGGACGGGGTATGAACAGGGATTTTAAGATCTTAAAAACTCAGGGAAAGGTTTAAAATAACGGCTTTGACCGGGCGGTTACTCCTGAGAATTCTTGGTGGGGGTGGGTCGCCTGGTTCTCCAAATCCTGACCCTATTTCAGAACAAAAAATGACGGTCATTTTTCACACACGTTTTCATCAGTCGTTTATCTTGGATAGGTCTGAATAATACTGATCTACTAAAGGTAACTGTTTAAATGCCGAACTTTCTTTTTTCAATTGTGGTTTTGTTGAGTCTACCAGTAGCTAGTAGATGTGTAAACAGAATGATTTGCATTGTCTATAAGGTATTAAAAATATAAACAAACGCGTTGACCTAAAAAAATTCACGGCCATGGCCCGGGGCCGAGTGTTAAAAGCTGGCTTTAGATAACCTAGATTTAGTGCGAAATTTGAATTCAGATCTATAAAAGCTGAAAAAGCAAATTCAGTTTATTTTCTTTCGTCTACAATTCGATGATGGATACGCTAAAAAGAACTGAAAAAACTATCTGAGTCAATGCTGTTAAATACAAGAAAAAGAAAAAGAAATCCAGGTTAATTAATAGCGATAAGCGGCCTTCGAACAACTAGCCCAGGTTAATAAACGCATACAGTATACCCAACTGAATGTATCGGAAAGACACAAGAAAGCGGGTTTCAACAGATTATCAACTGTTTTTTTACGTTATTCAGTGGACAAGCGTCATCGGACTCACTTCTTTTGCTTTGATTTGCTTTTCTTCTTTCTGCTTTCATATCCTTTCGTTTATAACGTTTATACTCTTCACGAACAAAGTCCACTCGATCTCATGAAACCTTCTTGTCGCTGCAGAGGTCAGCATTCAAACCATCAGAGACGACCGTGCCGTCCGCCATATTTTTCGGAGGCTCAAATGAACAGCAGTATATCACCATCATCACGTCAAGCGTCATGTAATGCAACACGAAACCTACTTGTCGACGTTTGATCGGGCAAATTAGATGAATTGACGTTGCCCCGTCCCCTTCGATGGTCTTCGATCCCCTTCCTCTTTTTTGTCGCTCTCGTTCCGAACTTTTCAACAAACTCGCAGGAAAATACTTGCTTCGCAGGCTTCATTTTCTGATAGTTTTTTGTCTTTTTCGAACAAAATGTACTTCATTTTCTGGTGATTTTTGAACTAAAAAAGTAGTAGGGGCGACGCGAAAATTAAACAAGCCAAGCGAAAAAGGACGCGCGTGACACTGTCCAACCTTTTGAGCAGGTGAAATCAAGATAATTTTCGCAGGGGTGAGTCGCTAGGGAGTTTTGGGGCATGCTCCACTAGAAAATTTTGAAATCTTGATGCTCTGAAACGCGATTACTAGTGTTCTGAGAGAACAATTTCTGTGAGAACAATTTTTAATATACCGGAGTCATGTTTGGTGCCGTGTGTTAGGCAATCCGCCGGGTGGTTCAAGGCGTGAATGAAACGTGATTTCAAGGTTGACTGCAACAGCACAGTTTCACGTAGCCACCAAACTGTGACCAATATGACAAGAAAACGGTTTATTTGGTCGCTGAAAAATAAACAATCAGATCAGACAATAAAAGCTTGCAATTTGTTTTGAAACCTTCAGAACATGGAAGCGGAAACAAACTATTGTAGGCGCTCAAGAAGTTGGAACGGTAACTTATATTGAAACTACTCTATGCGTCACGTTTGGCCTTCAAGCTTTAGTGTAGAGGAAATTCATTGACACTTACGCTAAGTTTCAGGACGGTTAAACTTTCTGTAATTCCACGCATTTAGTGGAGTATAGTACGAAATGGATGTTAAGTTACCACAGATTTCGCGTACTGATTGTCTAGCAGAGGAGAAAAAGAATGGAGCCAATTATGAGGAGGCCATGAACGAGGCTTTCAAGGAGATATTTACGAATCTAAAGGAGATCGAAAAGGACACCGGCAGAATGAGGAGACTCAGAGCAGATTTGGAGAGACGAAGAAGTAGTGCTCCGGCTACAGTCCTCAGAGACCAATTGAAAGCTTTCAGAAAACCTAAACAAACAGAAAGACAATTGTCTACACCTTCTTTAACGAGGACAACTTGGTCAAAAGAAGTAAATGAAATGTCCACCCGGCTAACACATAAACCTAGTTCAGGAAAGAGAAACAAATCATCTGAATTACCGACTGCGTCACTTCCGCGGAGATCAAGATTGTTGCCGACCACGCGGTGGGTATTGACTTGTTCTGAAGAGGACGGGGTATGAACAGTGAGTTGTTTAAGATCTTGAAAACTCAGGAAAAGTTTTCTAAATAACGGCTTTGAGAGCTTGGAGCCTTGTAAGGAACGTGCAATTTTGCGATGAAAGCGTGCGCTACAGATCTGTGGCGACTAAGTGTTTAACATTATAGTGTAATGTCACCCGAGTGAAACAGCGTTTTACTCCGTCCTCACTTGTGTTTGCTACAATAGTTGGAGATTACTTTTGAAATCGCTCAAGGTCTTTTTACTAAGCGGCAGAGACTAAGCGGTTTCTTCGTATTAGAGTTTCTACTTATTCCGAAGGGCGTCACCACATGAAACCCTGGCTCTAGACATCGGTTTTTGAAACAGAGTTTAGAATAAGTTAGCAAAACCACATTATTTTAGATAAGCCCTACTATCAGGTGGGTCTAGCTTAAGGTCCTTCCACTGATTGCCTTAAATGCGATATCTGATTGAGTCTAGACTATTAAAAGAAAAGACAATATGGTTTATCTTGAATAACATCTACTAGCGGTAATCTGTCTAAATGCGGAACATGCTTTGTTCAATTGTGGTTTTGTTAAGTCTATCAGTAACTAGCAGTTTTGTAAACAGAATGATTTGCATTGTCCGTAAAACTATATATAAACAAATACGTTGACCTAAAAAAAATTCACGGCCAAGGCCGGGTTGTTCAAAGCTGGCTTTATCAACCTAGGCCTAGAGTTAGTGCGAAATTTGAATTCACACTGTAAAAGCTGAGAAAGCAAGTTCAGTTTATTTCCTGTCGTCTACAATTTGATAATTGGATACGCTAAAAGGATTGAAAAAAATTATCCGAGGAAATGTACCCTGGGTACCAGAGATTTTTCTCGCGTGCGGCCAAAGGCCGACCTGTTAAATACAAGAAAAGAAACCCAGGTTTATAGCGCTAAGCGCGGCCCTCGAACAACTGGTCCAGGTTAATAAACACCGCATTGGAATATGTATAAATTGATATCTAGTATACCCACCTGAGTGTACCAGAAAGACTTCAACAGATTTAGTTTATTTACTTAATTACTGAAGTAATCCGAGGGACAAGCTTCATCGGACTTATTACTTTTGCTTAATTTCATTTGCTTTCATTTGTTTTTCTTCTTTCTGCTTTCATATCCTTTCCGAAAAGTGAAAGTAATATGTGGGTACTAAGTTTTAATTGGTTAAATATATAAAAATTGGATCGGATGATGTACCTCGAGGCTGATATTATTTGCGGCAACTACCTGAGTTTGTGATCAGTTCAGTTGTAATTAAGTGTTCAGTAAATTCAGCAAATTGCAATTAATTTTAAGTACGCCAAAGTTGCCATAGTAAGTCGGTTTTCGCATTTTTTGCCCAAACTTTGCAAAATCAGGTCAAATTAGATACTCGCAAAATGAGATGTTTTCAAAATCGAAGGAAGAAGAAAGCCACGACTGATAGTTCAGTAGCCTTAAGGTATATAGTATCTAACAATTTTGACAAATAATTCTGTGAAATCTCATACAGTCGGCTTGTCTAAAGATAGCAACAAGTCCTGAGGCAAAACGAAAAACTGGTCCAAAAATGATTGTTTATTCTGCTAGGAAAAAAATTTTAATTACCGTTAAGGGCTGACCTGAAATAAGGTGTTTATCTCACAGTTTATTTGTTCTTCAGTTAAAAACATATTAAAAATTCTTTAAACACAGATTCTCTCTTGCACAGAGTTAACAAAGGGTGGGCTTTGACGTCAACGGCGATTGGGTACGGCAGCCATGCATTCAATAGCAACTTTTTTTTCTATTTAAAGACATAAATAACTGAACTAAAAGCAAAAGAAACGCTTAGTCACTATCATTGAGATCACAAGCATTGATTGCTTCTTATTCAAGCTTAAAAAGTTGCATTGTAGTTATGTACTACAAGCCTACACTGAATTCAACGACTAACAGTTTCGTTTTGTTTCCGTTTTTCGCTGTCTGTTTACTCGAACTGGCGGTTTCATTTTTTTAGTCAGTTTGGGAAATAGATGTGTAAAGTTTAAATAGGAAAATCGTTTAATCCTCTGGCCTCTATATGTAATCTTTTCAAGCTCTTGTTCTCCACAAAGCCCGCGACAGAATCTGTATGTGTACTGAACTGATGAGTTACTCATTCATTTACGTTGGCCATCAGTACTATGTAATTTGCCCTTACAGAGCCATAAACCGCCGGCAGTGACTTTGCAAATGAGCAAAGTAAGCAGCCTGCAATATAATTGATTAATGTCCAAAACATAATTACTACGCCTATTACTCGACAGTAATGGTCATGTTTAAACATGTTTTGATGAAACGTTATTAACGGGTAGAGCTATGCATCGCTCAGTTGAGCCAAAAGGGTGAACAGCGCTGACTTCCTTGAATTCAGTGAAGAGAACCGAGGCAATGATAAGCAAAAAGCCGAAAAGAGCAAGTTTCGACGAGGCCATGAACGAGGCTTTCCAAGTAATCTTCGAGAACCTTAAAGAGATTGAAAAGGAAAAACAAAAGAAATTGAGACAAAAACAAGATTTTGAGAAAAGAACAGGCGGTACTCCTTCTGCAGTTCTCAGCGAAACGTCAGTTCATAGAACACATTACCAAGACAGAAATTTGTCTACCACTGTACCAACCAGGCCAAGTTCGCGGAAAGTAGAGAGCTGAATTGTCCACGCAAACAACGCCCACAGTACTGAGCTCGCCATAATCACAACTCCGCATGACTTAGCTTCGCCACCGAGTACCAGTTAAAATAGAAAATGTAAAGAGTCTTGGCTCTGCTCGGCTTGTTCAAGATGCAAGGTAAAACTCGAGACTTACATTATTTGAGCCTTGTATTGCAAAATAACACTCACCGGGAAGTTTAAGACAACGCAAAGAAACGCTTATCAACTCATGCAGTGTTTAAGTCAAACTACTTTGGCAGGATTTTGTTTGTGACGCGGGCCTCTAGACTTAACATTGAACCCTATTTCTTACATACCAAACAAAAAAAACAATATTGCTCTGAACCCTTTTGTTTTTAATTAATAGAATTCATAAACTACAGTCATCCTAATTTACATTTCTTTCTACATTTAGTAGATTCTAAAGAATTGAAAGGGGCTTAAACACAATTAGCTTTGAAAACTGACTCTAATACTGTCTTAGACTGAATAATAAAATTAACTTATGCTTATTTTAATGTTCACTACATTTTATATGACGTATAAGATAGATTTACAATCATCACATTTCAATGTCTCGGTATATTTAGGATTCAAGTCTATGAGTTTGTATCTTCATGTTCCCGGATTCAGATAACTTTCTACAAGTTTGAGCAACAAACGTCGCTCAAACATACACTATGTTCCGCTTTCCTATATAAGGATTTTACTTATACTACATTTATTCTACGTAGTCTTCTTCCTTAATCTCAATAACATTATCAAGGGACGTAATATTAGTTCATTTTAATTAATGTGCCCCTCTCCTCTTCAGTGACATATTCCTTTAATTAACATTTTTGTTAACAGATGTAATTATAAACTAAACTGGAGAAAATAAAATGCAAATACAAACACAAATTGTCATACGCTCTAGGGGAAGGGAAAATTAAGGCTTCGGCTGAACTGCTAAAATATTGCAGTTTTAATTGTCTAAATTCTCCGTTCGACATAGTACTAAACTAAACTCTATCAGGAGCTGGACCCGGCAGCCAAGTAAACTGCAGAATAACAGCAACAATGAAGTGCAAGTTATTAAATGTGGGCATAATTGAAAAAAAAAATGTATTAAGAAACAAGATAATATAATGCGCTACTAGTTTAAAGGATAACATGGAAAATATTGAACCTAATTTTTATAGCGTTCAATTTGTATTAATATGTCGTGGAGTTAGAACAAGCTTCCTGAGTTCAAGATTCCGCCTAGAAAGAAGAACTCGTGAAATCAAGATTTTTGATAGTCAAAACCTGAATTCAAATTTTGTAAGCCTGGCAAAGATTTAGGCAAACCTTGTCCACATCAGCATACGGCTCAATGAACTTGACGTTCTAGAAAGATGATCCTGCATTGTCTTTGCTCAGTTAAAAATGGACAAGCTAAAAACCATCTGGTGGGCGGTTTTGCTTATCAAACGTCACAAGACAAGCAACGCAGAGTCAAAAGAGAAAACAACCGCTTAAAAGTTTCTTGGGTTCACGAGAGATCGCTTGCTGCTTCCTTATTGAATTCGATTGGCTTTACGCGTACGTTTCCAAAATCTTGAATCTTTGCAAGTCATTAACACTAACTCCAATGCAATAACTTTGGGCGCGTTCGATTAACCTTATTCCTGGGATTACGCCTACGGCATAAACTCTACTAAGGACGGTTATTTAAACGGAGTTTAGCCAGTGTTTAACAACACCGCTTTCTACGACATTTTCATTTTGCCCAACGCTTTTATCTAAACACCGTTTATAGAGAGAAGTTTCATGAAAGCACATAGCCCCGAATAGAGAGCCGCTACTTCAGTAAACACACTAAAAGCAAGAGATCTGGAAGTGCAAAGATTTCTTAAACCCCGGCCTAAGTTAAACCTCGTTTAAATAACTGACCCTGAAAATCACTTGTTTTGGCTTTCATTGCATAGTAAAATCCAGAACTGCCTGACATAAGTAATCAATATGATGAATGTAGCATTCTAATAGTCCAAAAATCAGTTTCAGTTGAAGAGATTTGTCACAAAGTTCTGCGCATTCCTATTCAGGAATACGACCAAGCTAACGCACGCTAAATTAAACCCGGATCAAACTTCGAGCCTCACATGTGACAAAGGTAATGCTAATGAGCAAAATTTATTGTTCTCATTCATTAGCACTATAAAGTTCAACGTTTGACGCGGGCCTAACAATACATAGCACAAGAGAGTCAACTTCCGTCACGTGCATCCCAGAGACTCGTGAGTCAGCAAACTTTTCATTTCTAAAGAACCACTAGCCGTGACTTTGTCAACGAGTTGTTTGGAATGTGATTGGATACAAACTTTTGACCGCCTTTAATCCGGTTGGATGCACCTTATATTTATATAAGAAAAACTTGGCTCAAATGTTCAGAATTAAGAAAACTTAAAGCTGTTGCAGTTCAGAAGTTTTCGCCGTCTTCTGTTGTAACAACCATCGGCTACGTGAACTACTAGGTGAAGAACAAAGCCAGGGGATGAAAAGCAAACACAACAAAGGTCTTTGCTACGAAGAAGCCATGCGAGAGGCCTTTAGTGAGATCTTTCAGAATCTTAGGGAGATTGAAAACAACACTGAGAAGAAATTTAAACTGAGACAGAAAATGGATTTCGAAAGAAGAAGAGGTAGCGCTCCTGCTTTATCACCACTTAAGGAAGAAAAGGCATTTTTTAGGCAACCAGCAATAAGGCGAGGCTCTGCACCTGTCCTGCTTAAATCAAGTCCTACGAAAGACATTAAGTCACCATCTCCTAAAATACATTTGGTTGACGATGTAGTGAATATTATCGTCTTTTGACGAAGCATACGGTAACAGTTTGATTGGTCTTTCGCCGCCGAAATCAATGAAAGTGGAAAGCCGTGACTGAGATACACTCGCTCCACAAGATAAGTGGAGGTGAAGTGCTAAAGGACACATCCATGCATCAAAAGACAGAGTTAATAACAGTTAAGCTGTCTTCATCGGCTGCAGATTTTCTAAATGAAAGCTGTGTGGTTAATAAGAGTGTACGTAGAAAAGCAAAAACTCTTAATTCTTAAAAGTTTTACTTAGCTGTTATTTAAAAGAAAAACGCTTTTATGACTGAAAAAAGATCGAGCGCTGTTTATAAGTAGGCCGCTTGCTTACTAATTAGTATTTGTATAGAGTGATTCCATTTTGATTAACGAAATAAAGGTTTGCTTGTACACATTTGAGAAACAAAATGTTCTGTATTTGATCAAACTCTTAGAATAAAAGTCGCAAAGTTGCTAAAGAAAACAAAGTAGTTAATTTACAGGATGCAAAATTCAGAGAAGCACAGGTTAAAGGTAATAATCGGTTCATATTTAACACCTGTTCCCTTTTTTCAGCAAGTTCGTGAAGACGCCACAGTCTTATGTAAGACATAGCTTATTCTTCCTCCCTTCAGATCATCTTTCTCAAAAATGTTCTGAAAATTTCTAGACTAAAAAAATGGTTAACAGTTGTGAGTTTATGAAATTTCCTTCTTTAATTGCAGAAACCGATGAAGGGGGTATCAGTGTAGAACATAACTGATAGCCTGAGGGGTTTTAGATCTCAGTGCACGTGCCGCAGTTTTAATCGATTATTGTCAGAGTGGGACAGTTTCTAAAAGAAGTTACTCAAGTTGTTAAAGTAACTCTTAAAAGAGTTACTTTAAAAAATATAAAATATCGTAGTTTATCTTTGCCGGGTCTACTTAGTTCCAGAAAATACAGTCACGAGCTTTTGCAAGGTCTCTTAATTCTTATGCTGCAGAGTGAAAGCGAAAACAAGCTAAATATGCTGAAAATACCACACTTCAGTAACTTTTCGTAAACGACTCATTGAGAACAACATTTAACTCACCCGCTCTGCTACTGCAGGTATATATATAATTAAAACGATTATTGTAGAATAACA